TACTTGTCAAGTCTTTTTCCTCCCCCAAATATAACACGGTCACATTACACAGTGGCCGTAACCTACTCTAATGATGCTGGATTCCGGGAGAATCTCCGTGGTAGAGAAGGGAGTCTTCCCGGGGACATTTTACAAAAAAAAGTCAACATATAAAACTGATTTTTTTTTCTATATTTTGATTAAAACAGAAAATGTTTGGTAATATTCTAATAGTAGGCATTTAAAATTGATGACCAAGAAGCGCCTAGTCTTCTGAATGAACTGAGAATTGTAATTGGAAAAATACTGGCGTCTATAAATAGCAACATCCAATGTGTAGTTAAACCACTCGAGCACTTGATTCTTCCACGTCCTTTGCATCTACGTTGCACAGAGCACAGGAAGTTTCAGACCGATCGCCGGATCTCAGAGAGAGAATAAGCCAGTTAGTTGTCATGACCGCTGTCACCGCCAATCCCTAAGACCTTACACGTCACCAACTGCACTTGACTCTGCCCTGCTGCTTTATGCTCAGGAGAAGATAAATCAGTCATCAATTATGCACACTAATTAAAAATGCTACCTTAGGAGGCATTTTAATAACTTAGAACCAGGAGTGAGTTTTTCTTCTAACTGCTTACTTTAAAACACATTCGACAACAGATTAGCCAGGAGGTACTGAGCATTTGCAAAGACTTTAGAGTCTATATAAACTATCAAATTGCCCCCCCCCTCCCATAGTGGTAGCATTATTCTGCAACTAGCTGAGGCCACATGGAAAATAAAATTATATGCTAATTTCTTCTATATTAATTTATCATGAAAGGTCTGACCAAACATGGTAAAATGAATCCTGGGAAAAAATTAATGAAGTAGATTGGTATGTACCATAGCAAAGTAAACTGTTTATCTTAAGAGGTACAACTACAAGAAATATTTTACAGACGGGGTATTTCCTCCTTTTCAAAAAACATGTTTTAACCAACCCGAGGCAATGACTTGCATGGTTTGAAAACACTTTATATAGTTTTACCTTAAAGGGTAACAACAAAGGCAGGCTATTTGTCTTTAAGGGGAGAGAGGAAATGCAAAATCGTTCCACACATGTACCATGACATGAACACACAGGTTGAAACTAAATGATGGGGTCAAGGCGTATTATGACATATTTATTATTTTACTCCAAAATAAACTAAACAACAATATAGATGTTTTCCTTGGCATAGATTCATCTGAAGGAACTATGCTTTATTTAAAATACTTTAAAAATCTATACCCTTTTTCCCTAGAAGGCATAAGCTGTACATGTGCCTCATCCATAGATAAGTTCTGTGGATACTATACCAACTTAGAAAACTACAAACCAAATTAATGGTTGAAGAATTTGGACTACCGGTTTTATAAATGATGGTGGTGCATCCCTCAGATTTCTATTTTCAAAGGTTCTTATGTAGAAACAGGGAAAGAATTTGGGGGGCGGGGTGCTGGAGAAATGAAGTCTTACAGCACCTAAAACCATGGAACTGGTTTTATAAAGCATCTCGCTTACTGCAGGACACAACTAAGACGAGTCACAAAGATCATCTGTGTCCCACCCTTGGGCAAATACTTGCGGGGGGGGGGGGGGGTAATTAAATGATAAATTTTTGTTCTAGAGCCGATCCCTCTTTTCATTAAAAGATATGTTTATACTTTTCATTTCATTGCAACGGTTCCAACGCCGATGGCACAGGCGAACTCGCGCTCACAGAGAAATCCGCGTGTTCTTGGGAGCATAACTCCTTTTTAATTTCTAAAGGGACTTTACCTATTGCTTTTAATAAGCCGTTATTATTGGTGATGGTAAACTACGCTAGGTTCCCATGAAATATCAGTTTGACATCTTGTTCAAATAGTTACTTTTCTGCTGTGTATTCCCAGCATCGTTTGCCGTATTTCCTTCTTACCAAGTTAGACATGGCGATGCCTATTCAGGCATAAAACCTCCAGGCTCCTTGATGGACCATAAAATAAAGCTAAGTACTTCTCTGCAATCATTCCTGCTTGAAGGGCCTTATTATTGAGATCTTAATCCATAAAAAAAGGTGAGAATTACCTTTGAGAAAGGGGGAGAAGGCTGACAAAAATGAAAACACGCACTGGTGCCCACAATAGCAGGACTTAAGTAAATTAATCTTCATTCCCACTGAAAGCAATCTGATGTCCAGGGACTGGGAATTATTCTACCATAAAATACGGCACATTAAATACTACAATAACCCATTAGAAATGTCTGAAGATAATGATTATGTCACCTACACATGATTGTACATATAGTTCTATTTTAATATTCATTACCGGGGGTTCTAATGCAAAATATGTCGAAATTGTAAAAATATTACGTGGGTCAGAGATCAGATCAAGCAAATCAGGAGCCATCCTGTGACGAAGAGTAAGACTCCAAATGAGATCTGAAAAAGACGCGATGAAAGCCAGGGCACACACAATATGGGGGCCCTGCTTTTCGCAAGCAGCCCTACCATTCCTGGTGCTTTGCATATAAAGCCCCTTATCTCCACGAGCTGGATGCAAAGAATGGAAAGATTCTTCCATCCAGCCAGAGAGCAAGTCTCTCCCCTGCTCCTTGAAAAAGCTCATTTTCACATTACTCAGGCTTCATTATGCTAAATCAATATTCGTTTAGTCACTGGGGTTATTGACATATTTTAAAATAAAAGTATACCCTTCAGCTACTGCACTCATTACAGGTAATTTGTCTTGTCAGAGAGCAGGGAATATTATCCTAGTCTTTCAGGGGCTGACAGCCCATGGAAATACCTCCCCATGGTTACAACTGTAAATAATTTTAAGGTAAAATATTGAAAAATCAATGACTGTTTCCTGCAATCTGTCACAAACAAATCAATCATAATCTGCACTGCCAGCGAGTATGATGTGAGGGAGATGGGAGCAGATGTAATTCTTGGCTGGAATCTCTCATTTCAAAATCACTTCACATAATGGTGTCATCATTTAAACACTTAACAGTCAGTGCGACTGCCACTGTAACATCCAGTTGGACAAAACCACAAGGAGGAGGAGGAGAAAATGCCATCACTGTTATGTTAACAAACATTTAATTTAAATGGTTGCTGCATTAGGATATTTTTGTTGAAAACCGTTTTTACCAGCCCCCTTTCAGAGTTCTAAATTAATCAAAGCTGGTTTCTATGTACTGATGCTTAATAAATTAGCCCAAATTTCACTCTCTAAAGCACACACACCTTTTATTTTAAAAGTCCATTATAGAGAATAAAATTTGGAATTAATAAATAAAACATCTGGAATGTAGAATAGCCATAATTCTATCTACATAACAAAGACAAAAAAAATAGTGTCATAGATGTCAAGATTAGACTTTTAAAGTAGGTTTAAAGGTCTCCGTTGCCCAGATATTAAATTTTATATTTTCCGTCTATTAATAAATATTACATTTTAACTCTGTAATACTGTAGAATATTTTAAGATGACCAGCAAGACCTATTAATTCATTCAAAAAGACCCCGGCATTCCATATACAAGCTATTCCACAGACTGGTATTTTACAACCTGGAGGAGTAACGCGAGTACATGAAGTGTCAAAGTTGGTCAAGGTTATAATACTGAATTGTTTTGCAAATGTAGGTAATCACTTGGATATCCCCATTTTTCCAGGCTCCATCTGAATGGCTCCCTCGGCTGCTTACTACCTAGGCGTGAATAAAAGAACCTGAGGTTGGTATACGTCCCCCTTCCTGCTGTGTTAACCAAAAACATCCTTTGAGTTCAAGATTAAACACGCTTTTCCTGAAGGTTTTTGTTTTTAAATGTATATTAGCTCCTTTAATGGAATAAATTAATTTTAGTCACCGCATTGCTTACCAATGTCCTCATTATATAATTAGACATCACGAAGCCCTTTACAGTTCTACTAATATCCCTGCATAGACCCAGCTCAGGGAGCAGATGTTTCTGATGACCAGAAAAGTATATAATTTTTCTTAAAAATGAAAAAAAGGCCATAAACACCGTACACAATTGAAGCCTGTCTAACCATGTTTAGATGCAGGAACTAGTCCTTGAGAAGCGGGCTTTATGTTTGGAATTTAACCTGCACACTCGGTGTGGGAGCGCAGCGTGAGAAGACAGCAGCCCTTCTGATGGACACAAACTGACCATCATATTCGCTCGTCAAGAATCTTAGCTTCGGGGGTGGGGGGTCCAATGGGGGGAAAAGGAGATCTATGTAAAACTTTAGATCAAAACAAAACAAAACACCTCAGCTTCATTCCTTAACACCGACGTTAGTTTTTTGAAAATGAAACAGCACGCGAATACATGATCACACACATCATCCAGAAGAAGACAGAGTCCCCCTTCCCTGTGAGTCCCTAGGACAGCTGCAGAGCCAGCAGCCAGCCAACCTAATGAGAGAAGGAAAGCATTACCCTGGCCTCGGATTATGCAAACGAGGGAAAGGGACTGAAAGCTGTGAACTGGGAGGAGAACCCATGAGCCTGAGCTCCTGGCCTACAGTGCTCCAGAGCCCAGAGGCTGGGCCCAGCCACCGCCCTGGCAGAGCTCTGGAACCCGCTGCCCAACACCCAGTCCCCCGCTCAGCGGCAGGTCCTGGCTGGCCCTGCCCCAGAGGAGGCCTGGAGGCCTGGGAGGGACATGAGGCCGGCTAAGCAACCTGCTAAATGCATCCACGTCGACGACAAACTGAAATGATATCGACCAGCGCTGTGCAGCCACCATCGCAGACCGAATTCTCAGAAAGACGCTATTTTAAGGCTGCTGAGTGTGCCCCGACGAGATGTCTCCGCTCTCCCAACACAACCCATGGCCCTGGGAGAAGCAGCTCGGAAACTGAGCGCAGGAAAATCAGATCATTTTCATATCTCAAATGGAAAGAAATGGCTGTGGGCTAGATAATGTTCTCCTGTGTCATAAAGGCTCGGGGTGATGGGGGAAAGTATTCTTTTAAAATAAGATACTCTTACCTCCCTATCTTCAGAATCCCCTCCTTCCAGTAGTCGGTATGGCCGCTCTGTTATGAACTGCAGATTCTTAAAAAGAAACACAGCAATAGTTAGCTCCGTCTTCCCTTCTGCGACTTCCTTCTTTGAAGGAATGACAATTTAATTACCAGTTCTTCAGCTGATTTTATTAGCGACTGATACGTTTCTCCAAGAGCACACCCCAGCTATTTCCACTAGAGAACATTTAGTGCAACCTTCCCAATTAATCAGCCGTAACCTATTACTGTTGAAGGGACATGTTTTGTTAATATTCTCAAAAGATTGGGGGAACCTCCTTCCCCGATCCCCCCCCCCCCCACACACACACACGTACCTATTTTATATAAAAAGAGTCTTCGTTTTAATATGTTTGAATACCCTTAATATGCATGACGTATGAAACAATATATTTGGGCTGACAAACAGATACAAAACTCAGCCAATTCGCATTCATGTTTAGGTTTTTCCTATATTTATCTTTAGGAGAGAAAGAAAAAAAAAACAACCAATCCTCTTATCTTTTAAATTCAACAACAACTCTACCCGGAGTTTAAAAAAAAAAATACAGAAAAAAATAAGCTGAAAGGCAAACAAAGAGAAATCAGAATGCTCACTGCTTCCCATTTTCTCTGTGTGTGTTGTGTGTCTCTAACTTGCTGTAATGCCTCAGGTCTTGGGCAGATGTGAAAGCCCATTAGGCTGCACCAGCGATGTGGGTTCACCGGTGTTATTTAAGTACAATTATGTGTTACTTTGTATTACGCGAAAAATCACTTTCATGCCTTTGAAAGTCTTCACAGAGAAGCGTTTGTTCTACTGCAGGCTCTGCTAACTACAGAAGCCTTCTGTAAAATTAGCTTTTTGGGGTCACACAACCATCTCTTTTTACTTAACAAATGTTCCTTATCACTAATTCGAGTTCCTTGCTCTCCTCACTAGACAACACAAATATTTGGCAAAATACTTTTTTTTTCTCACTGCTTTTCTCACCTACTTGCATTCAGCAGCCCCTATTTTGATGGAAAAAAAAAATGACATTTTACACATAACTGTGTACTCTTTGTCATTTAAAGAGTTTGATACTCATCACTGGAGCTGATACTCCCACTAAATTTATTCTGAAAAGAACTGGGTAATGAAAATAATCAAAAACTGCAATTTGGTAGAATCAGATTATTGCCTTTCGATAATCACTCTATTATTAAAAAATATAGCATTAGCCTTAATTTTTATGAAAAGCACTGAGTTTATAAATTTCACTACTCAACTACATCATTAAAAATAAATTATTCAGCGGATTTCCATGAAGCAAAAAATGTTCTACTTGCTGAACCTTGGTTGAATGCATTAATAAAATTATATAACCAAAGGCCTCAAGTGACATTCTGTACTCCGTCTCTATTAGCAACATAAATACTTTGGTAAAACCAACACTGATGCTATCTGGGGCTTGCTCCACACACAAGCACACTGTGCAGACAGACACTCACTTGAGGATGAGCCTGGGGAGATGCAAGGACAAAGTCCAGCCAACATCTGGAGGAACCCCATGGCTTCGAAGTCAGCTTAGCTGCAAACATCCAAATGTATTTTGGAAGCATCATCCTTATCACCTGCACAGAAAATGGAAATGGCTCTGTTTAAGGAAACACAGAAGACTAGTTAAGTACTTTGGGGATATTAAATGTGAATATCTAATCTAATATTCTCCAAGGTATCACTCTCTATTATGGCAAATAAACAAGTAAAGGCCCTATCACGGCGTGGAATGGCATTCGCCTGAGAAAAGCTAGAAAAGCAAATTAGGTAAATGACAACTGCAGCAGAAAATTATATTCCCTCCTCTTGAACAAACGTTAAGTGCATCCTTACTAATAAAGGCTTAAATGCAAACTACATTAGAATACACTCGTTTTCAATTTTGAAGCCTCTAAGTTAATTTGCCAGGCTAAATTGGTGGTTAGGTTTACCCTGGCAATAAAAATACTGCAGATTTATGTAGAAAATAAGTCAGGAAAATCACACATCAGAATAGTGATAAAAGCAAACCAGAATCATTATTGAATAATTCCAAGATGTTACATCTTCTTAGAGGTGCCTCACTTGCTATTCTATTAAGAATGATTCTTTTCTACGAGACAGCTAATAATCACACAAAAAAAGATGTTAAAAATGCAAAAGTCAACACAATGTAGAAACTGAAGGAAAATATACAAAGATATTGAGATATTATCGCAGAGTTAAAACATTACTCCAAAATACAATACTGTTTTCATAACCCATAATTCACTCAGGATTAAACAATTTCATTTACTTGAATGTTATCATCCAAAGAAGATTTAAATTTTTCTTAAGATTCCCATGATGTAAACATACATTAGTGATTACTTGTGTTATTAATTAAAATGAATGACAGGTAATTAGTTCATATTCCTATTTCATTTCTTTTAACACAGCATATCAAATTTTAAAATAAGACATGGAAAAGAGCCTGGAGATGCTGATCTTAGCTGCCAGAAAAAGAAAGTAGGGGAGTTGGAGGGTCAGTAAAGCAGTTATCCTCAAAAATTAATGCTCTTATTGGAATTTCAGCTAACAAATCTAAATAAGCCTTTGATTTTAGTTTACCATGTAATTCTAGCCAGCTAATTATCCCTGGAGTCAGGAATGAGCTGTGACTGTACACCTGGCTTCTCCGATCATATATGCCGATGGCCTCCTCCCCTTTCATTTCCTCTTCCTACAGTGAGTTTGAATATTAAAGAAAAACACTCACACATCTTACATACACAGTGATGGACAGCCAGCTTCCTGGAAATCATGATCTACAAAGAGAGGGGGAAACCTTAATGCAATACTTATGTTGAAGGGTATTAGGTGCTGGGTAAGCCAAGGGTTATATGATCAACAGCATCCGTCTTGCTGTTGTTTTTGCATTTAGAGATTTGATGTCAAGGACGGTAATATTAATTTACTGGTCACCCAGGTTACGATTCGGATCCTTAAACTACTAAGAGCCTAAATGCACTATCTTCACTTGCTCATCAACTCAAATTTACAGAACCATGTTTTGGAAAAAATAAAACAGGGTGTTTTTTTCTATTTCTGGAAATAAAAACAAGGAATTCCATAAGCAATGTAGCTAAAGTACCTGATGATATGAAAACAGTAATTGTTTTAGGTCAATAAAACATTCTAGGAGAATGCTTTCCAAATAATGAAGTGGCATAAATGCCTCCCATTTTTACCTTTTTATTTCTGCTACTGCACATCAAGCATGCCTTCCTCTACAGATTTATTCCCAACACTAATAAACATTTGCTTAATAGGCTGCTCTCTGCCTTTCTTTCTAAATTAGTAACCATTATTCAACCAAGATAGAGCACAAAGAACGCCAACAAAGGCATTGCCAAAAAGCCACAAGTCGTATGAGTACATGCCAGAACACTTAACATTAAACGACCATTTCTCTCTCAAACTTCCCTTGCCAAAGTGCTCACAAAATCTGGAAGCTCAAAGACAGGTTTCAAGTGCAATTAAATTCTCCCAAAGCAAAACTGTACCACCACCAAAAAAAAAAAAAAAAAAAAATGCCGCCCTTCTTATGTCACCATTTTATAGACAACATTTTCTCAGGATCTTAATTAAGATAACGACGCACACCTGTGTCAACACTCTCCGGCAGGACAGCCTTATCAATCATAATCCTTTAAGTACACTCCAAAACAGCCAAGTGATATGACAGGAGCAATCTGCTGCCTTTCCTACTGCGGGTGCCCTGTCTCTCCCCCACAAGAATGATGAGACCTTCAGAAGACAGCAGACCTACTTTTCCGAGTCTTTCAAGTTTTCCCTGTAAACACTGATGACACTCAATAAACAGGTATAACCTCTTTGGCACTTGATTTACACCGTGACGGCTCTCTACAGCCAAAACTTGTCTTCCCGGGGCCACTGGGGAATCTTATGCCAAAGCGTTTACATGGGATGAGTTGGGCATAACTGGGACCGGTGCAGGCACGACCCACCGGTAAATCCTCGCAAAGCTTTCACATGAGCACATGGGAAGTCTGGCAGGAAGAACAACCAGGACAGACCGATCCCCTCGTCTAAGTGACAATGTTCAGAAAGAGAAAATGCACTAGTCAGCCCCCCTTCCCTCCCCCCACCCCCCAAAAAGAGCATCAGAATCGGTCGTCTTGGTAACCCGAAATAAGAGGGCGGTAGCTCCCAACCTCTGCTCGGGGGCGGAAAGCTTCAGTAACAACAGCCCATGGACAAGACTGCTAACAAGCAATAGGCTCCCAGACGGAAAAACTGATGAATAACGTGGGGAAACGGGGGAGAGGGGGGGGGGGAGGAGGGGGAGGTCACCATCGCCAAGATACAAAGTTTAAAACCTCGCTTCTACCGGTCAAAACCTGAAAGCTTTCACCGGGAAACGGAGAAAACCGGCCCGCGGCTACCGGAGTCCCGCCCGCCCGCTAATGAAGGACCTGCCCTTCCCTTTCGCGTGTGAACACAAGTCTCTCTCCGCGGCCGGCCGCGCGCCCAGCCGTCAATGTGCAAATACAGCGGGAAATAGAGACGTCCTTAAGAAATGAGTCTGAAACTTGACGTAGAGCAGAGGTGACAAGCACAGCCAGCAGAACCAGACATTCTAAACGCTCCCGCGTCTTTCCGGAGTCTTTCCCTCCGGTCCCTGACACCAGAAAGAAGACGGTAGAGGAAGAGGGGGTGACGCGGCGGGGGTGGGGGGACGGCCCAGCGGCCCGAGTGGCAGGATGATGCAATGAGGGTGTCGGTGGGACGGGCTCAGGTGCTCGGTGGCACACACACACCTCCAGGGCCCCCTTTCGGAAATCAGCATCCTGGACGAGAGCCGAGAGGGTGAAGCTGCCGCGCGTGGATGGAGGGAACACGCGCGCGCCCGGGGTCCGTGGCACCCGGGGAGGCCCGCCCCAAACTCACGCAGGCCCTGCCCACGGGTCTCTCCGGTTCACGAGGGGACGCGGACGCGGCTCGAGGGGCGGGAAAGCCGGGAGCGACCGGGTGGGGGGCCGGTGGGATCGGGGCGCAGGGCTCACCTCGGCGTCTCGGCGCGGGAGCGCGGGCCGCGGACGCTCCCTCGTGGCCGCTGTGAGCCCCCGGCGGGCGGCGCGCGCGGGCCGCCGGGGCCGCTACCGACCGTTACCGCGAGGGGCCGAGCTGGCGGCGGGCGGAGCCGGGGGCGGGCGCTGAGCGGCGGAGGGGCCGCGAGAGGCGGGAGCGAAGGGAGCGGGGCGGGGACGCTGCGAGGCGCTCCGGGCCACCACCCGGGCCCCGCCGCGCCCAGGAGGACCCCGTGCCGTGGCTGCCGGGGAGGCCGCCGCTGGCCGGGTCCGCGCTCCCTCCTCGCCCGGCGGTCCGGCCGCGCGGCCTCGCTCCGTCTCGGCTGGCTCGCAGCCACCTCCGTGCGGCGGGGCCGCCACCACTGCCACTGGCTTCCCGTCTCCATGACAATAGCGCGCCGACGCCCCGCCCCTCGGCGCCCTGACTCGCAGGGAGGCGGGCCCAGGAGCTGGGGGGACGGAGTCGGTGCAGGCCGGCGTCCAATTAGAGGTGACGGCAGGGAGAGACGGGGCCGCGGGGAGCGCAAGGGTCCCCGAGAACAGCCGCTGGAGGGGCGGAGCCCGGGAAGCCGACGGAGGGGGAGGAGTCGGCGCGCGTGCGCGTTGTCGCGCACCCGAGCTCGGGTGCCAGGGGCCGGCGGAGCTCAGGCTAGAAGTGTATCTCGCCCGTCAAAGTCATCGCGGGACACTTTGTGTCCAGTCGTGCCGCGGCTGGCGTGTGACCCCATTAATAAAAGCGCACACATTCCCCGCTATAGTGAGCGCCAGCGGAGTGCCCACCCGTGTGCCGGCCCCGGTCCTGGTTCACCAGCGCCCCTGTCTGTCCCTGACGTCCAGTGCGCCTGCGGCTCGTGGCGGCGCCGGGTGGAGAGACCCGCAGAGTCTCTTTTGCACTCTGACTGCGTGGCCGCGGTGGGCAAGGGCTCTGCCTGTGACTCAGTTGTGTGTGTTTGCCTTGCCAGCGCCTCGCTGAACAAACAGTCGTGGGGTTGGGCACTGCTCTGTGGAGTGTTTACAGTGGAGCCTGGGCGGGGGTGCGAGCGCGTTCAAAGGGGAAGGGGACCCTCACCCTCCACCGCACCGCCGGCCTCGGCAGGGCGAGCTGCGGGTGGAAAGCGCCCAAAACGAAGCAGCGAGGCTCGGAACAGATGGGGAGGAGGAGTGGGGTCCTGAGACCTGCTCCGGTGGGGCTGCTTCTCTGTCTGGCAGCTCTTGCTCGCTGCCTCCCCTCTAGAGAAAGGCTACCCCACTCCGTCCCAGGTCCCCAGTGTCTTTTTTCTCCCTCGAAATCTGGCAGGGAGTTGATGGAAGTAAGAGCGGCTCTAATGCGTGCAGATGCCCAAGGCCCGTCTCTTGCCCACCTGCTGCTGCTAGCGGAGAGGGACAGGGTCCCGGACTCCCTACGCCCCGGACCAGGGCACTCGTGGCACTTCTCCCAGGGACCTCCATTCCGAAACTTCAGCTCGTTCTCGGGTCCCCTGCCTGGTGGGAGAAGCTAGGGGCGGCGGGGCGGCGAACCGAGAAATCCGCTAACTCCGGGATTTACAGTGGCGGGGAGAGAGCCGAGCCTTCGCCGCCGCGCCCTCCTCCGCCGAGGTCTCTTTAAGGTACTTCGGGGCGGCCAGGCCCGCCACCAGGGCCCGCGGAGCTTCGGATTCGCCGCTCCACCCGGACTTAGTCGAAGAGGAAAGTTGGAAGAGATCGGCGCGCCTGGGATGTGATTGTCATCCTGGGGCTGGCGCTCGAGAGTCTAAGAGAGAGGAGGGGGGAGGCGGGGGAAGGGAGGGGGCAGAAAAAGAGGAGGGTGGAGAGGAGGGCAGCGGTGGAGAGGCGGGCGCGAGGGAGGGGCGAGGGGAGCGCCAACGAGCGAGAGAGGGAGCCGGGGAGGAAGAGGGAGAGGGCGAGGCGCGCCTGGCGGCCGGGTTGGCTGCGGCCGCCCAGAGGCTCCTGCCAGTCCAACCACCGACTACACCCCGGGAAGGAGGAGCTTCGGGCGCGCACAAGGCGTCAGAATCCTCAATTTCCAACTTAGCATCTTGGCAGGACCTTTGCGAAGCCAAAAGCAGAGCCCCCCAGTGCAAAGAGAGAGGGGGAAAAAGAGAAAGCAGCAAGGGAGGGGGAGAAACCCAGCCGGGCCGAGAGAGGCGCGCACCGGAGCGGGCTCGGCGGTCGCAGTCGGAGGCGCGCGGGAAGCCACCGGGGAGGTGCTTCGAGCCGGAGCTCGGGAGCCGGGGCCCGGGGAGCGACGGCCCGGGGCAGCCGGAGGCCAGGTGCCTGCCCGCTCGCCCTCGCAGGGCGCCGCCGGCTCGTTGGCGGCCGCGGCGCGGCGCGCCCCATGCCCGTGCGTGGCCATGTCCTACCCGCAGGGCTACTTGTACCAGCCGTCCGCCTCGCTGGCGCTCTACTCGTGCCCCGCGTACAGCACCAGCGTCATCTCGGGGCCCCGCACGGATGAGCTCGGCCGCTCGTCGTCGGGCTCCGCGTTCTCACCCTACGCCGGCTCCACCGCCTTCACGGCGCCCTCGCCGGGCTACAACTCGCACCTCCAGTACGGCGCCGACCCCGCCGCGGCCGCCGCGGCCGCCTTCTCTTCGTACGTGGTGAGTGAGCAGGGGCCGCGGCGGGCGAGGGCGGCCGGGGGCGGGCGGGGGCTGCGGGGACGAGGGCCTCAGCGCCCCCCGCGGGCCGCCCCCGCCCAGCCTCGCGGCCCCAGCCAACTTGGGCGATTGTCTCCTCCGGCTTCCCCGGGCCTCCGGCTCCGGAGTTGCGGGGAGAGGGGAGCCGTGTCTGGCTCGGACCGCTGAGCTGGCGGAAAGGGTCTGGGGAGGAGAGGTCGCTGCAATTAAAGAGCAGCATCTGGTTCAAACGTGAGCTCCAGGCCGCCCTGCGATTTGTATTTTTTTTTAATTTTTTTTTAAGCTTTGCAATTTTGGGAAACTAGTTCCAAAGAAATAAACCCGGAATCTGAGCAGAAGCGTGCCAAGTTGATGTAAATGTGTTTGGCTTCGCCTTTAATTAGTCCTCCGAAATGTTGCAAATCCGTAATCCTATCTCCGCAATCCGATTGGGAGGTATTAGATTTCTGAGAAGTCGGCCGAGCTGCGGTGCATCCGGGATTTCTCGGCCGGGTGCACTTTCTGGAAAAGCGCCGCGGCTCCGGTTTGGGGAACGTTTTCGGAGGGGCGGAGTGCCGGGCCAGCCGCGGCTTTTCCTTCGTCTTTCTCGGGTGGGGAAAATGCCTTCCCTCCCCTTGCTCTCTCCCGCCTGGCGCCTAGAGCGCAGCCACCCGGGCTGGAAGCGAGGAGTCGCCGCCGCTGCCCGGACCTCTCGGGGTGGAGGGCCCGACCGCGGTGGTCGGATCCGCACACCCGGGACCAACGTGACCCGGCACCCGGGGGCCCACAGGGTTCGGGCCGAGGCCAGGATGGCTTCCAACGCCCACTAAGAACCGGACTCGGGAGTCGGCGCTCCCGCTGCGTTCCGAGGAGGGGGAGGGGTTGCCCTTAGCTCTGCGCCCACCAGCGGAAGCCGGAGTTTGGGCCTGGCCGCCCCGCAGACCCCGGGGCGCGGGGACAGTGTACTCCTGTCGCCCCGGTGGCAGTGGGGACCGTGGCCCACTCTCACCTTCTTCTTTCTGCCTGTTGCCTGCAGGGTTCTCCCTACGACCACACGCCGGGCATGGCGGGCTCCTTGGGGTACCATCCCTACGCGGCGCCCCTGGGCTCCTACCCTTACGGGGACCCCGCGTACCGCAAGAACGCCACGCGGGACGCCACCGCCACGCTCAAGGCCTGGCTCAACGAGCACCGCAAGAACCCCTACCCCACCAAGGGCGAGAAGATCATGCTGGCCATCATCACCAAGATGACCCTCACCCAGGTGTCCACCTGGTTCGCCAACGCGCGCCGGCGCCTCAAGAAGGAGAACAAGATGACCTGGACCCCGAGGAACCGGAGCGAGGACGAGGAGGAGGAGGAGAACATCGACCTGGAGAAGAACGACGAGGACGAGCCGCAGAAGCCCGAGGACAAGGGCGACCCCGCGGGCCCCGAAGCAGGTTGGTGCGCGCGGGAAGGGGTGTGCGGAGTGAGAGTAAGAGCCTGGAAAGGGCGGGAGGGGGGACGTGCGGAGAAGGGGCGCCCAGGGCCAGGAGGTTGGGTGGGAGACTTGGCTTTGCGGGCTGGGACGTGCCCCCCATCCCCCTGCCCGGAGGCCTCTAGGCGGCTCACGGCCTGGGTTTCGCCCGCAGGAGGAGCGGAGCCCAAAGCGGCTGCGGGCTGCGAGAGGCTGCAGGGGCCGCCCACCCCCGCCGGCAAGGAGACCGAGGGCAGCCTCAGCGACTCGGATTTTAAGGAGCCGCCCTCCGAGGGCCGCCTCGACCTGCTGCCCGGGCCCACGCGCACCGGCGGGCCCTCCCCGGGGGCGCGGCTGGCCGAGGACCAGGGTCCTCACTACCCTTCGGGCGCCCCGGCGCCAGGCCCACATCCAGCCACCGGGGAACTGCCGCCCGGCCCCAGCGGGCCCTCGGTCATCCACTCCCCGCCGCCGCCGCCGCCCCAGGCGGTGCTCGCCAAGCCCAAACTGTGGTCTCTGGCCGAGATTGCCACATCCTCGGACAAGGTCAAGGACGGGGGAGGCGGGAGCGAGAGCTCTCCATGCCCACCTTGCGCCGGGCCCATCGCCGCGCAGGCTCTCGGAGGCAGCCGCGCCTCGCCGGCCCCTGCACCGTCACGCTCGCCCTCGGCGCAGTGTCCCTTCCCGGGCGGGACGGTCCTGTCCCGGCCTCTTTACTACACGGCGCCCTTCTATCCGGGCTACACGAACTATGGCTCCTTCGGACACCTTCACGGTCACCCTGGGCCCGGGCCAGGCCCCACGACCGGTCCGGGCTCGCATTTCAATGGATTAAACCAGACGGTGTTGAATCGCGTGGACGCTTTGGCTAAAGATCCGAAAATATTGCGGAGCCAGTCCCAGCTAGACCTGTGCAAAGACTCTCCCTATGAATTGAAGAAAGGTATGTCCGACATTTAACGACATTTAACGCGGGCTGCGTCGTTCCCGGACTTTCCTAATTTATTTAAAAAAACAAAAAACAAACACATGGCCTTGGCAGTTATTTTTCCATCAACAAGAGAGAAAAAACTACCCCTCCTATTAAAAAGTTTATAGTTGATGGAGATGGATGACATAAAAATGTAAACATCTCCACACATGCGCGCACACACACACACACACACACACACACACAAATGTCTTAACCCACCGGAAAGTTAAAATAAGGATTTGTATTAAATCTTATTCTGTATATTTAATGTAGCATTTTGTATTTAAATTGATAATTCAATATCTTTGAAGTAAATTATGAAATTAAGACACCTATACAGGCATCTAATGGTTTTTTGTAATATAAGTATATACATTTGTGTTCCACCCCCCAAAAAAACTGTTTCATAGTTTAAAATACAAGTTTAATTTAATTTTTTTTACACCTATTGATTTTTTTTCTGGGTATGAGCTAAAGTATTATTACAGAAAGGAATCAGGTTATACTCTTAGATTTAAAAAGTAAAAAGAAACTGCAGCCGCCTTTGTAAAATGCAAAGTATTTAATTAAAAGAGATTTTAACATAATCAGAGCCTCAATGACTTTTTAGAAGCCTCAATACACTGTCCACCGCCTTGGACACAAGGTGCAAACTGCAACTTTTTTTCCCAAGTGAGGAGGGCAAGTTTCCATAGAACCTCGGGGTGCCAGGGTTTCATCGCAGGCTGCAAGCCCTGGGGAGCGTGGCCCTGCCCAAGGCAGGTTTGGATCACTGATGCGGGTCTGCCTGGGGGAGATTGGACCCTGGAGGGAGGAGGAGAGAGACCCAAGTGTATGCCCAGAAGGGAGAGAGGACGGCAAAGTCAGCTAGAGACACGCACCAGCCAGAGCTCCATCGCTTAACCTGATTACTTCCAATCAGTGTCGTGTTTTATGCAAAGCAATCAGCTGGTGAACTTTGCTAATGAGTTCGATTTTATGCCGGATTTAGCCGTTATTACTATTTCAAAGGTGCTGCGGGCTACTGCGGGCGGAAAGCGTTAGGGGGTGCCAGGGAGAAGGCCGTCCCAAATCACTTGTCTGCGTTACCCCTTCCAAATTGGGCATTGATCCCTTCCTGGGGTTTGATCAAATTAGTAAATGTCCTCTGTTTGATGGCGCGGAGGGTAGGTGACCCAGTAGAGTCCCCGCGCAGTCTCGGGGCTGGGGCCGCGGGGCCGGCGAGGGCACGGTTCCCCCCTTTCACAGGTAGGTGTCACACTTGTCCTGAATTTCAAGCCTGCACTTTGCAGGGTGGGAGATTGGAGAGTGGGCGGAAGTGGGGGGAGGGGGCGCCACAGGGGCTTGAGGGAAGAGTGAGGACCCCGAGCGGATCTGGAGAGCCCTCGCCGCCCCCGCCCTCACCCCTGCAGCGGGCCCCGTTTTGTTCCAGGGGCCTTCAAAAGTTGGAGGAAATGCGCCCCGATAGCGATGCCTCTGTGCACGCCACCGGGCTTGTCATCGCTTTAGCACGTTTCTATCTCCGACTCAAGAGTTCCAGTAGCTACAGAAGCAGTTTTGAGGTTGTTACAGTCTCGTCTGAATCCCGCATATTTCACCTCGACGTGTGAAAGGTCGGGATGCGTCTCCATCCCAAGTGAAAAGGAGACGCGGCCCTGCGCCCCAGGCCCTCCCGCGCGGTCGGTGCTCGCGTCTCCATTTTGCGCGCGGACGTGCGGAACCGCGGGCGAGTTTTAACTTCGTGGGAAATTTTCGGCGGTCGGGGAAAGGGGAGGGCTTACTGGGGGGAAAAAAAACAAACAACTCCAGCGAGGGGAATTAATTTGCTCTATTAAACTCTTGCCTGAGTGTAGAGAGAATGTGTTTGCACATAACACCGGCTTCATTAGGCTAAATCAAGGTGCACTGATTTGCATTGCGACTCAAGCTTACTTTATCCCTACTTGCTTTTTTAAACACACCCCAAACTTTCATCGGAGTTTTGATTTTTGCTGGGTTTTTTTGTTTTTGTTTTTGTTGATATTGTTATTGCTGTTGTTTTTTAAGCAGCCACGGAGCGCTGTTAGCTTTTCCTAATTTAAACGAGTTTGAAAGCTTTGTCCAGATGTGTTCCCCTCCCTCCCCCCGCTTCCCTGGAACAGCGGTCGACTTCAGATTTTAAATTAGCGAGAAAATTCACGCAGGGAAAATGGTTTCAAAGCTGGAAGTGCGAGTGATTAAATATGCATGAGGCGATCGTATTTTTATTTTGTCCCTTTAATTATAAATGATTTTTTTAAACAATTGAATTCCAGAGATGACGGGCCCTACCCCCCTCGCGCCCCAGCCCCCTCCCCCCCGCCCCCTGCAGCCCGGCTCACAATCAGCTTTTTCGCCCTGTTGATTATGCAGCCCCAGGAGTCACCTTGTCTTCTGAAAAAGTCAGAAGAATAGGCCGGTCCTCTCCTCTGAAGAGAGAGAGTTTCAGGGCGACCTCAGCTCTGCAGGGTTTGGGGAGCCCTGGCCCGACACCCTGCCCAATGGTTTTTCAAGAGAAAATTGCAGGCCTCCCTGTGTCCCCAGGAATATGGAAATGGCGGGCGCGGGCCTCCCCAAGTCTGGTTGCAGGGCTCCCTGGGAACGGGAACCGCACACTGGGGAGCCCCTCCACGTTTCTCCTCAACGGGGTGCCGCTCGGGGAGCCCCCAGGCTGAGGAGCCAAACCACCAGGGGCTAGAAGGCTGGTGCCGGAGTCGCCGCCTGCTCCCCGCATCCCTCCCGCCCTTGGCCCCTGCAGGGTCTACGGTTTTCTTTGCGTACTTCGTCTTCAATAAAATTAGGGGTTTCTCCTTTGCGGAGCTGGGTTTTCGGTGGCCAGTGGTTTCTTGGGTGTCTGGAGTCCTTCCAGCTTGGGGGGGGGGGGGGGGGCGGCCTGCCGGCCAGATGGAGGTTTGGGCATTTAGAAAATGCCTCGGGCATTGAATCCCAGAAGTAGCTGCATGTCTGCAGGGTCCTCAAGCCTCCACTGGGCCGCGTCTTGGGCCGAGCCGGAGGCGATGCAATGCGCCTGGGAGGAGAGGGAGGACTTCCGGCGAGTGCCAGCCTGGGATGGGGTTAGCTCGCAGGCCTGGGCTGGGGCGCGGAAGTAGAGCGAGGCCGCGGCTAGGACACCTCCGTGCTGGGGCTGGGAGGGCATTTGCCACCTGCGCTCCGCTGCACTTAGGAACCAGGAGGCCCTGGATCCCTGGTGATAGAAACCATGGGATCACTGAGTTGGGTCTATGCAGTCCGCGCCCCCAGAGGCAGCGCCCCACGGGGGACGGGGTGAGTTCCTTCCTTTATCCCTCGGTGCCGGGAGGAATCCGTTCCTGGGACTTGGCGATGAGGAGCGAGCAGCCCAGCCCACCCCCGACGACGCCTAAGAGGGCACTGAGGAGAGGCTGTGGAGGGGGGCCGCCTCGCCTCGCGGTGCCAGGGCCCGAACTGTTCCCTGGTCTGGGTGCGGGGCCTGCATCGAGGCCTCCCAGTTTGCAGAGCGCGCGGAGCCGCTCATTCCCCATGAAGTGCGCGAGTCTTGGGGCGCGGGAGGCGGGAGCGGGCAGGGGGTCGTCGCGCGCGCGGTTTCCAAACGGGCGGTGGCCTTCAGCGCACCTTTCCCCCTCCGCCCCCCTCCACCGCCCCCCGCCCCCCGCAACTAGCCGCCAGCTCGGCAGAAGCCTAGAAGCGCGCTCAGCAAAGCGCCCGAAGTGAAACGAGTGTGATTGCGCTCCCGGGAGAGAGCCGGGCGCGGATGCAGCTGAGAAAGGGCGCCGCCTACCGGTTCCCGGGCGCCGCGCGGTTAGCGGAGGAGGAATTAGGCGAGGCCAGGCTCTGCCCCCCGCACCCACAGCTGTGCCTTAGCTCTGAACCCCAAGCGGGCCAAACGTTAACCGCTCCACCACCTCATTCGCTTTTGCCCGGGAACCAGGACCCACTTAACATTGGGGATTTGGAGAGCAGGACCTGCGACTAGAACCATTTTCATGCTACAGATTCCCACCGTGACTCAGGCACAGTCTGGAAAACCATCGGGAAGCTAAGAAATAGGCCCGAAGCTGACATAGCCGGAGGGTGGGGGCTGGGGCTGTGCGCATCCTGGCCGGTCGGGGTCCCGGGGCTCCCACGCCCCTTCAGGTGCCTGCACTGGAGGTTCTGCTGGCCCGGGCTCTGGACCCCGCACAGTTTTGTCTAATTTGCGGTTCGGCAAATCTGAGGTCGACCGTGCAACCTTGCCCCTCAGGCCGGTTCTGACTTTTGGACTGTGGGTTGGACCTCTGTAGGTAGGAAAAGGAAAAACAAAACAAACTTGCCCTCCAATGCGTCAGCCCCTCCTATTTCGGAAGAACCTTGAATGAGGTCGACGTGGCAAGGCGGGAGGTGCTTCCGTGGGCGTCCCCCAGCGCCCCTCCCAAAGCGCTAACGGGTAGAATCAACTGTCCCCCCCACCCCCCCACCCCCCCCACCCCCGCTCCCTGCAGGGATATTGGGGGGAAACGCGGACGCGCCTTCTGCTCGGCTCTTCGCATCACTCGCCACTCGGCCACCGGCCACCAAACAGGAGTCACACCAAAATCGGGCCTGACTAGCACCTGGCCGCCGGCACCGCCCCAGACTAGCTAAGGCCGCGGGACTGTCCCCAGCCCCACCCCGCGGGTCTCCCTCTGTGACCGGGCGGGAGCGGGTCTCCTTTTCGTTTGAGCGCGAAATGCGACTTGGGTCCCGGGCACAAGGCGTGGCCCAGGTTGTGGACTATCAGGGGCTGGCCTCTGAGGCCGTGCTCCAGCTCTGGCTGCACCCCTGGCTCTGGCCTGTCCCTAGGGGCTATTGGGGTCTGCGGCCTCCTGGCGACCGCAGGCCCCAGTCCTAGATCCCCAAGGTCGCGGGCCAGGCCGCGCTCGCTTTCAGCGCCCCAGGAGCCCGGCGGGCGCAGACAACACTGTCCCCGGTGCGATCTGCTTTTTGCTCCCAGCAAACCCCCGGCTCCCCGCGCTCCCGCCTGATGGATGCACATGTAAATGCGCGCTTATTTAATTGGATCAGGCCCCCAGATAAAAGAGATAAACGGCTCCCCGTTTGCTAACTTGTTTTCGGAGGCAGGCGTGCGGCGCCGCGTGGAGGGGAGGCCAACGAAGGCGCGGCGCTGCAGCTCCTGGCCGTCCGCTCGGCTGCAGCTGCGGGCCCTCCTCGACCTGCTTGGCCCGTGCCCTGCCCGCCCGGGAGATCCCCGCGGGGCCTGCTGGGCACCAGGACGGGGAAAAGTGCAACGGCGCTTGCAAGCACCTCACCCCTAACCACATTCTCGGGCCGGTTCCCCTCCTTTCTCACCCAACTCCCCATGCAGGAGCCACCCCGGCCGGGCCCACTCCTGGAAGGCCCCAGGCGGCGCCTTCCACCCCAGGTGGCATTTTTTTCTATCCCTCGGGTGCCTGGGGAACCGCCCTGCAGACAGAAGGACCCTTCCCTGTTCCCAGATGGCCCTCCTTTGGGACCTGAGATTGCTTTGGGAAACGGCTGGAGACCATGCATGGGGCCCTTCCCCCGATCCTGGACGCGCGCAGCACACACAGCC